TAGTGTGTAAATAATAATTTTTACACAAGTCCTTAATATTTACAAGATAAGGGCTTTCTCTAGAATTCTCTACAAGCCTAGAGATTCCAAGGACTTTCCTAGCAAATCCATAAGGATCTAGGTTCTTCCTAAGGAAATGTCCATACTTCTCTAGAATCTTCTCACAAATGCTAGCCTTCTTCATATGTAAGCTTCCACATGGCATTATTATATGCCAATGGTGCCTATGTGGCATGATGATGTGGCGGGTCATCACACTCTCCCCCACCTAATATTGCGACGACCGCGGCGCAATGCTGCTGCATAAACTCTCGGATCTTATCTTTGAATTGCTACAAGTCTTCATATCGTTCCCACGTGGCCTCCTCCGGTGATTGCCCTTTCCAATGGACGAGGAACATAGCGGTGGCTTTTTGCCCTTGTTTTCGCCTGGCCTGGTAATCCATAATAGCCTCAATCTCCCGATCATGCGAGACAGTGATAGTCATTGGCACTCGACTTGATTGGCCCCTACTCGGATCATCCTTATCTTCATGATATGGCTTAAGCATGCTGGCATGGAAGGCAGGGTAGATCTTAAGATACGATGGCATGTCAAGCTTGTATGAGATCTTGCCTACCTTGGCGACGATCTTAAATAGCCCCTCATACTTGCGAATCAAATTCTGATGCATGCCCCGTAGTGCCTTGAACTGTCTTGGGTTAAACTTCACTATGACCATGTCCCCAACTCTATAGTTCGTGGGACGCCGTTTACGGTCTGCAAACCTCTTCATCTTCTTAGCTGCCTTATCCAAGTAGGACTTAGCAGTGTCAAGCTACTCCTCCCATCCTTTGGCCATATGATAAGCCCCCAAACTCTTTCCCTCGAACGCGACTGGTAAGGAATGTGGAGTTTGTGGTTGTTGGTCTGTGGCTAGCTGTCACGACCCGGATTTCCCACCCTCGGGAGTCGTGATAGCGCCTACTAGTGAAAGCTAGGCAAGCCAATTACTCCAATTATTTAACCATTTTTATTTTTAATCCCTTAACAATTTCAAAACAACATAACAAAAGCAGCGGAAATAATAATAACACAAATAATGCGGAAGACGAAGTTTGATAGTTTAGGTTAATACAAACTGCGGAAGTCTAAGTACAACTCTACCCAGAATCTGGTGTCACAATGTCACGGACCATCTACGAATACTACAAATAAAATCTAAATAGAAATACACGAATCTGTCTCTGAATAAGTAAAAACAGAAAGAAAATCATAGAAGGAGACGCCAAGGCCTGCGGACGCTTGCAGGACTACCTCGGGTCGCCTGATGGACTGGAAGCAGCAACCTCATTGTGGTCCAAAAGCTGCAGCACCGGGATCTGCACACAGTGCAGAGTGTAGTATCAGCACAACTGACCCCATGTGCTGGTAAGTGCCTAGCCTAACCTCGGCAAAGTAGTGACGAGGCTAGGACCAGACTACCAAATAAACATGTGCAGTTAAATCATATACAGCGGAAAAGTAAAGGCAGAAATTTACAGGTAAAGATAGGAGGGGGAAAACATGCTGTGGGAAAATCAAGTAACAACAGAAAACCAATAAATAAACGTAAAGAACACCATAACTCAATTATCAACAAGAATCAGGAAATCAAACACAAGTGCACAGCATCACCCTTCGTGCTTTTACTCTCGTCCTCACCATACGAATCAATATAATCGGCACGACATCACCCTTCGTGCTTTTACCTCACATAATCATGGCACGGAATTATTCGTGCATTATCACTCATATCATGGCACGGCATTGTACATCGTGCGGCACGACATCACCCTTCGTGCTTTAACCTCACAATATCGGCACAGCATCACCCTTCGTGCATTAACACTCTCTCACAAATATCATGCACGACATCAACCTTCGTGCTTTTACACTCTTCCTTACCCAAACAACAATCACAAAGCAATACGTGCAAGGGAATCAATAAAATCACAATAGAATCTCGGCAAGGGAACAATAGCATAACAACAATATCCCGGCAAGGGAAACAATATCATGAGTAATAACATCCCGGCAAGGGAGATAATATCAAAAGCAATAACATTCCGGCAAGGGAGACAATATCATAAACCTCTTCTCTTTTCCACAATTACTTCACAACTCAATTCACAACTTGAGCCAACGCTCTACAATGTTCAATTACCAATAATACTTCCACAACTCAATTCACAACTTGAGCCAACGCTCTACAATGTTCAATTACCAATAATACTTCCACAACTCAATTCACAACTTGAGCCAACACTCTACCATATTCAATTACCAATAATACTTCCACAAGCCTTGTTCAACAATAGAAATCATCATATAAAACATGAACAATACGATACGGAGTCACATTTAGCATAGTATAAGACTCACGGGCATGCTTGACACTGACGTATAGATACTCGTCACCATGCCTATAATTCGTACTCAACAATTAACACATAGCAAATAAGACACAACTCCTAATCCCTCAAGCTAAGGTTAGACCAAACACTTACCTCAATGCCACGAACACAATTCAAGCCTCAACTACCGCTTTACCTCTCGATTCCACTTCCAATTCGCTTGTATCTAGCCACAATTTACTTAACGATATCAATAAATGCTAAATGAATCAATTTTAATGCATGAAAATAGATTTTCTAAAGATTTTCCCAAAAAGTCAAAAATCGACCCCGGCCCCACATGGTCAAAACTCGAGGTTCGAACCAAAACCCGATTACCCATTCACCCACGAACCCAAATATATAATTTGTTTTGAAATCGGACCTCAATCGAGGTCCAAATCCCCAAAATTTGAAAATCCTAAGTTCTACCCAAAACACCCAATTTCCCCATGAAAACCCTTGATTTTGGATTGAAATCATGTGAAAAGATGTTATAGATTAAAGAAAATGAGTTAGAAATGACTTACAATTGGTTTGGAGAAGAACTTTTCTTTAGAAAATCGCCCAAGAGTGTTTTGGTTTTGAGAAGATTTGAAAAATGAAGAAAAATCCGCCTAAGTCCCAATTAACTGGTCGCAGATGTCGCAATTGCGACAGGAGCTTCACAATTGCGAAGCTCACAAATACGAACAAGGCCTCACATTTGCGAACCTGGGCATCTTCTGCTAACCTCGCAATTGCGAACAAATAGTCGCAATTGCGATACTGGCATTTTCTAATGACTTCGCATTTGCGAAGGGAGGTTCGCAATTGCGAACACTGGCAGGCAAAGCTTTCTTCGCAAATAATCAAGCCCTCGCAATTGCCAAGCCTGTTGGGCTCGTAATTGCGAAGCCTGACCTCGCAATTGCGAGATCAAAGCCTGCAACACAGCTGAACCTGCAACAGCCATTTCCCTAAGTCCAAATTCACTCAGTGGCCTATCCAAAACTCACCCGAGCCCTCGGGGCTCCAAACCAAACATGCACGCAAGTCCAAAAACATCATACGGACTTGCTCGTGCGATCAAACCATCAAAATAACATCAACATCTATGAATTAAACCTCAAATTCATGAAATCACTCAAGAACATCAAAATTACTATTTTCTCAACTAAAGGTCCATTTTATACCAAACCAATCCCGATCTTTACCAAATTTTACAGACTCAACTTAATTATTATTTCAAACTTGTACCGGGCTCCGGAACCAAGATACGGGCCCGATACCATCAAGAAAATGCATCAATTCACTTCTAAAAACCTCTATATTTTCCAGAAAATAATTTTCTTTAAAAATTCATTTCTCGGACTTGGGACCTCGGAATTCGATTCTGGGCATACGCCCAAGTCCCATATTTTACTACGGACCCTACGAGACCGTCGGATCACGGGTCCGGGTCCGTTTACCAAGAATGTTAACCAAAGTCAACTTTGTTCAATTTTAAAAGCAAATTTCTATATTTTACTTAGTTTTCACATAAAAACTTTTCGGAAACGCGCCGGACTGCGCACGCAAATCGAGATGAGATAAAAAGAGGTTTTAAGGCCTCGGAACATAGAATTTACTTTCAAAACGAGTGATGACCTTTTAGGTCATCACACTAGCTCAAATGGTGTCCGCCCCGTAGGCTCACTCCGCTGCAAATTATAAGAGAATTGGGCGATGTCTAAGAGCCTTGCCCAATCTTTCTGATGCGCGCTTACATAATGCCTCAAGTAGCATTCTAGTAAGGCATTGAGTCGTTTCGTTTGTCCATCTGTCTGTGGGTGAAAACTAGTGGAAAAGTGCAGTTCCGTGCCAATTATGTCGAATAACTCTCTCCAAAAGTTTCCAATAAAACGGGGGTCTCGATCACTGATAATATGCCTTGGTAAGCCCCAATACTTCACCACGTTCTTAAAGAATAGCTTGGCAGTGCAACCTGGTGAGGCGGGCATGAAGGTGGCATATTTGGAAAATCTATCCACGACCACCATAATAGTACCATAACCGTCGGACTTTGGTAGGCAAGTGATAAAGTCCATAGTCACGCTCTCCCATGGACGCTCTGCAACTGGTAGTTGGTCCAAAAGTCCTCCGAGCTGTTGTTGCTCAACCTAGTCCTGCTGACATACAAGACAAGTCTGCACATAACATTTTATATCATCTCGCATGCGTGGCCAATAGTAGACTGACTCAACCAAGGCCCTGGTGCGACGTTGGCCTGGATGACCAGCCCACATTGTGTCATGAATCTCCCTTATGATCCGCCGTCTAATGTCTCCAAACTTAGGCACGTAGACCCGCCGACCCGTGGTAAGCAATAGGCCATTTTCTACCCAAAAACGTCTCGTCTTGCCCTGGTTGGCTAACTCGATAAGTTGTTTGGCTGCTGGATCATGTTGCATGCCTTTTTTTATAGCCTCACGAATGTCCCATCTTGTTGAAGTGATTGCAGCATGCTCGGCTTTCCGGCTCAAGGCATCGGCTACAATGTTACCTTTGCCTGGCTTGTACTCCATCACATAATCAAACTTGGCTAAGAAATCCTGCCACCTAGCCTATTTTGGCGTGAGCTTCTTCTGCGTCTGAAAGTAGCTAGTAGCCATGTTGTCGGTCTTGACCACGAAACTCGACCCGAGCAGATAATGTCGCCATGTACGAAGGCAATGCACAATGACAGTCATTTCCTTCTCTTGTACTGTGTAACGCCGCTCCGTCTCATTTAACTTGCGGCTCTCAAACGCTATGGGATGCTTATCCTGCATCAGGACACCCCCAATGGCGAAGTCTGAGGCATTTGTGTGCACCTCAAATGTCTTGGCAAAGTCAGGTAACGCCAAGATTGGCTCCTCTATTACAGCTGCCTTAAGGCCTTCAAATGCCTTTTGACAATGCTCCGTCCAAACCCATGGCTTGTTCTTCTTTAGCAACTCAGTCAATGGTGCGACCTTGGATGAGTAGCCACTAATGAACCGACGATAGTAGTTAACAAGGCCAAGGAAGAATCTCAACTCAGTTACCTTTGTAGGTGCCTCCCACTCTTGGATAGCACGTACCTTAGCCTCGTCCATGCGTAGCTCGCCATTGCTAATGACATGGCCCAGGAAGTGCACCTTTGATTGTGCAAACTCACATTTCTCCCTCTTGATGTATAGCTCGTTCTCACGCAAGACTTGGAAAACCTTCCTTAAGTGCTCCATGTGCTCCTCCAAGGTGTTGCTGAGATGACTATGTCGTCTAGGTAGACTACCACGAACTGATCAAGGTAGGGATGGAAAATCTTGTTCATAAGGGTGCAAAATGTGGCCGGTGCATAAGGCTCCATATCTCGTCACACATGCTGTCTTTGGCTCATCCCCTTCCGCAATGCGAACCTGGTAGTAGCCCTTTCGAAGATCCACCTTGGTAAAGTACTTGGCTTGCCCAAGTCTATCGAACAAGTTAGCAATGAGCGGGATCGGGTACTTATTCTTCACTGTGACCTTATTAAGTGCTCGGTAGTCTATGCACAAACGCAACGATCCATCCTTCTTCTTCTTCTGGAACAATACTGGTGCGCCGAAAGGTGCCTTTGATGGGCGAATGTGACCAGCATCTAGCAGCTCTTTCAATTGATTCCTAAGCTCCTCTAGCTCGGGCGGTGCCATACGATATGGGGCAAATGCGGGTGGCTTAGCCTCTGGCTCCAACTCAATCTTGTGATCCACCTCTCGCCTAGGCGGCAAGTTCTTAGGCAACTCCTCGGGCATGACATCTTTGTTTTCCTCAAGCAACTTCTCTATGCAAGGCGACACTATCTCTTGAAAATTCTTGTCTTCCTCTAGACTTGCAATGGTTGCCACGAACGTCGGATCCCCCTTCTTGATCCCCTTGACAACCTGCATAGCTGAGAGTTGTGCTTGGATCTGTCCGTGTGGCATAGTCACCGTAGGTACCATGCAAGCTCCTTCTCGCTCCATAACCAAGAGACGTTGGAGGCAGGGGTCGATCAAAGTATGACAATGTCTAAAGAACTCTTGCCACAGTATGATGTCAAAGATATCCATAGCGGTTACGGTAAAGTTTGTCATACCTTTCCAAGTTCCCAATTTGACACCAGCTCCATTAGCTACCCCACGAGCATTCTGTACCTAGGCATTCACGGTCTTGACGCGAGAGTTGGTTGGAGCAAGCTTCAATTCTAGTCTCTTTGCGGCAGCCTCAGTCACGAAATTATGAGTTGCTCCAGTATCCACCATTACACAAGCGGGCTTGTTGTTGATGGTGAGATCCACGTACTGATTGCCATTCTCGGTAGGTTGGATAGCTTGCTTCATGACAGCACCACATAATCCGATCATACCCAACTTTGCGGTTCCCGGACTCTCTCCTTGCGGCTGATTCTTCCGTTCACGGACCATGGCACTGAGGCTCTTGAGGTCAGGAAAATTCCTGAAGCCGTGTGGCCCTCCGCATATATAGCATCCCTTCTTCTCGGCCTGCGCCTTCTTCTCGGCGTAGCCCTGACGGCCACTCGACTTTTTGGGATCTTGAGTCTTCGAGTATTGTTGTTGTATCTCCTTGTCTTTGCCACGGTCTCCCCCACCTTTGACATAGCTAACCTTTAACTCCTTACCTTTGCCTTTGTCGTGCTTGTCATGCCTGAAATCCATCAATGATTCAGCCTCCACTATGGCTTGGTCTATATCCACGACTTGCCGACGTTGTAACTCCTGCTTAGCCCAATTTTGCAACCCGTCCATGAAGTCGAACAACAAGTCATCATTGGTCAGGTTGGGAATTTGAAGCATATGGGTAGTGAACTGCTTGACATAGTCATGTATGCTCCCTGTTTGCTTCAACTCCCTGAGCTTGCGCCTTGCCTCGTACAAGACATTGTTTGGAAAGAACTGTCGCTTGAACATGGCTTTGAACTGATCCCACGTGCTAATAGTACATATACCTTTATCCATGTCGGCCATCTTCCTTCTCCACCATAACATGGCAGTCTCTGAGAGACACAACACGGCAGTGTTGATCTTGGCCTCGTCGTCCCTCACTTTTCCGTGCCTGAAGTAGTTCTCCAAGTGCCAAATGAAGTTTTCCACTTCTTGTGCATCACGAACACCTTTGAACACCGGGAGTTTGGGAGCCTCGATCTGGGCCTCCCTCGTCACTACAACATTGCTAGCTACCTCGGTCACGCCAGCATTGACATGCTCCTCGAGTGACTCTATCTTTGCCTTCATAGCATCGATAGTACTCAAAGCCTCCATGAGTCTGCACTCTAAGGCAGTGATGGTTTGCCTTAGTTCCATCTCAGTCTGTGTATGTCCCTCCAAGTAATTTCGGATACTCTCAATCTCTTCAATAGTGTGCCCCTCAAGAACGCTAAGGGTGCCTTCCATCCTCCCCAAGCGTTGGCCAAAGATCTCCACGGCGTCCATCCCCGCGTTCATCTTCATCACCCACTCTTTGCCGAGCGAGACGTCCTCAGGCAGGACCTCCACTTTATCCTCGCTCTCCTTAATGGAAGATGGTTCTTGGGATGTAAGCCCTTCATTTGACACAACCTCGGTTGGCACCTCCTGGCTCTTGTTGGTGGAATTCCTCTTTTTGTTACGGTCGCTCTTGCTAGCAGCATCCTGGATGACGTTGGCTTGGGTGTTGGCAGCGTTAATTTCTCCGTCGTTCGCCATTCCCTTAGTTGCAACCTTTGCTCTGATACCACGTTGTCACGTCCTTAGTCGTTAGCTAAGTACACGTGCGACACTTGACAACTCACTCACGATCTTGCACAACTTGCTCACGTTCTTGCTATGCCAAGTCAGCCTTACTACACTCAAGATCTCTAAGAGAATGGTAGAAAGAACACAAGAGAATTGCTAAAGGAAGCTTTGTATTAGAGAGAACTTGAGTTATTTGCTTGATGAATTACAAATGAATGGCCCCCTTTATATACTAGTCTCCTAGGGGCTAGTGTGTAAATAATAATAATTACACAAGTCCTTAATATTTACAAGATAAGGGCTTTCTCTAGAATTCTCTATAAGCCTACAAGATTCCAAGGAATTTCCTAGTAGATCCATAAGGATCTAGGTTCTTCCTAAGGAAATGTCCATACTTCTCTAGAATCTTCTCACAAATGCTAGCCTTCTTCATATGTAAGCTTCCACATGGCATTAATATATGCCAAATGGCGTCTATGTGGCATGATGACGTGGCGGGTCATCACACTAAGCTTCGATTGATGGTCTCACATAGCGTAGAAGGCTGAACACAAAAAGAAGAAGAAAAAAGGGCAAAATATAAAATTGGTCTGTCGGTCGAAACTAATTGCATTCACTAGTCAAAAAGTATATAAAATATGTATATCATTTATATATAATAAAAAATATTTTATCGGTATTATTTTTGGGAGCGCCTAAAAATATACAATTTCTAAAGAAAAATCTCGTTGAAAGTATAGGTTGCAGTTGGGCTAGAGTGAATTAGCCCACCAGAAAACTTTCTTTCCTTTTTGGGTGATTTGCACAAATATGATATTTCGGTGCCATTATTGATTTTTTGACCCCGCTTGTCTCATGGGTAAAATTACAAATTTAAGAAGTATTACCCCTCGGTTGCCCTATGGACAATACTTGTGACTTTTGACTTTTGACCCTAAAAATTTGCCCATGGGTAAATTTGCCCAACAAATTTATCGAACTAAAAAAAATGCCAAACCCACCATAAATCCGTTTTTCACCTTATCTTAGATTATTTTTTTTTGCCAATTAATCATAATCATAATGAAAGAAACTATTTTTTCTTTCTTTTATTTGTAATTTTTTACCAATAATATAATAATATATGGATAGATCTATATACATACAGAGAAATCATAAAATTACCATATATGTTATAAACGAAAGCAACTAAATATCAAAAACGGATGCAGGATAAATATCACGATTCTTTCATAGGTCTTCTAATTAAAAATGAAATAAGGTTTTGGTCGTTTTAATTTTCATGAAAGAATAAAGTAGCGAAAGCTGGTATTCTAGGAAAAAATGTTGGCCTCAAATTGAGATCATCCATAAGAAATTAATATTGACTATTAGGAGTAATGAATATGCATAATTTAATTTATTATTTCTTGTGAAGGATTAGATGTCAAATAACTAAGCTTAGACACTAACCAATATTACCCTATCAATTTTGGGCTAATTTGACCACCTGGTGTTCATTAAAAAAAATCAAGTCATAATATTAAGAAGAATAAAGAAGAGGGAGGAAGTAGAACAACAATACATAGTTGAATAATAATTTTCTCGATGAGATTTTATGTTTTCGGGTTGGTTAGTATTTGTGTCGGGTAATTTAGAAAATACACGCCTTGCTTTTATTGTTATATCAGGAGTGTTAGTGTTGTCTGCCTATAATAATAGATAAATCAAAAACTTTTCTGAACAGCTCCCCAACTAGTTGTATGGGGTGGGATGCTTGTGAAAAACTGTTTTGGATATGAGTAATTCCTAAAAAAGTCATGCAGATAGAAAGAGTAAAACAATGACTCTGACTAAGTAAATAGATGAGGTTTTTTTTTTCTCAATGATTTTCTTTCCTTTATCTATGTCATACTTGGGATTCATTGACAACCAATTCCAAGTAGATCCTCTCTCCCCCTCGCTCCACTTCGTTTCGCTCGTTTTCTCTTTCCTTCTGCCTGCAAAATAAATTATGAGATTGGTTTTGTGTGCATTAGCGATCATCAAACATGTGACCTTCTCTCGAGAAAGATGGCCCAATTTCTCTTCTTTCTTTTTGATTTTACCTTTTTTTTCCAGGGGTCCCTAGAAGTCATAAGAAATAGGTATTATACCTGCAGCGAACTCTAAGGTTTGGCTTTTTCTTTTTTGACTTTCTTGATTCAATGTCGCATTTCGCATGCTTGGTTAGATCTCCTAACCCGGGTATTTCTTGAGGGTAGTTTTAAACCTATAAGTGGACGGAGGATAAAATTTAGCCCTTGGCCAATAGTTCAGGGTCAGTTTTGGCCCTTTTCCATTTATGTAACGACCCGGCTGGTCGTTTTGAGAGTTAGAGCCCCGATCCCATATTAACTGCTCCCGCCATATCTATTTCTGCTGTTGTGACTTTCCGTGAGGTTTCGTTTTGGGTTTTGAAGTATTTTGGGATACTTGGTCCCTAAATGAAGGCTTAAGTCTTAGAATTTGGA